TCCTCCAGGGGATCTTCCTGACCCAGGGATTGAACCCCCATCGCTTGCATCTCCTGCATGGGCAGGTAGGTTCTTTACCACTAGCGCCAGGACCCGGTAAATTACAAAGCAAGTCCTAACTGAGCCACTCCAGCTCCAGCTCCACTGCTGGGCAGTGCCTCTCCTTCCGCTGAAAATATACAATCTGCCCCTCAGCCTCTTTCTGGTCAGATTACCCCTACAGCAGAAACCAATTTGGGTGGGATTCCATGAACTGAGACCACAGCCAATATCCCTACTTAGGTTCTTTTGTGGTAGAAAAGCGATCACTTTGGGAAGTACAGCGATTGGAAACCTGTAAGCTAGTGCTAAAGTCCTCTGAGGAGCCAAACCCTCCCCAGAAACTTTTATCCTCAGCGTGAGTCAGATGATTCTATTGTTTTAAATAGCAATGGTCTCACTGAAGCTCTCCTTGAAACTCCCCCTCCTCCAGATAATTGTCAAATCAACCCTTGGTCTAACTCCCTGACTTCTTCACCTCAGTTCTTTTGTATCCCAAGAGGAATGAGGAGCTGAGGGTCTAAACTTCAGGTTTTGGCTCTCCTATGCAGGGTCTCCAAAGGGGTTTAACCTCTGAAAACTGCTGGTTCTTGCCCTTTGCTCTCCTGTTCTCAGCCTTTTAAGAAACTCAGCAGAAGCAGAGTCCCAGGACAGTGCTCAACCACATCAAATTCTTATTTAAAGGGAGAGATTTTGAAACTAAACTACTTGAGAAACATTTTAAGTAGCACCAATTCTATAAAGATGTTAATAACCTCATCGATAGAAAGTGAAAGTGAAGTTGCTCAGTTGTGTCCGACTCTTTGGGACCCCATGGACTGCAGCCCACCAGGATCCTCAGTCCATGGGATTTTCCAGGCAAGAGTACTGGAGTGGGGTGCCATTTCCTTCTCCTGGGGATCTTCCCGACCCAGGGATCAAACCTGGGTCTCCCGCATTGTAAGCAGACGATTTACCATCTGAGCTACCAGGGAAGCTCATTGATAGAAAAATTCCATTCAAATATTTTGAGAATCTCTTTTGTCTAGGAGCCAGCATTAACTTCTATTGATATGCAAACTAATAAGACACAGTCTTGGTGAGCTCAGTTAGACGATTTTGTGAAGATGGGTGATAATAAAGTTTTGTCATGGGTTTTGTGCAAGTTTCCTGAGCTTGTGGGTGAGAGTGGGGTTGTGGAGCTTCTTCCCCGAAGGTTCCTGGTTGATAGATCACTTTTAAGAACCTTCTTTCATAGAAACACCCCTCATAGCTGAGTCTCTGGCTCCACGATATCCACAGTGGAGTTGGTACAGGGTGAAGTATAAACTTACACACTTTTAGACAAGGGGTTCCATTTTACCCATAAACTATTTTATGCCTATTCAAAACTAAATTCCATAACAAAGCTTTGCTTAGGTCATCTTGCATTTTTTTTCTATCTCGCTGCTATGAGGAATCAGTATTAGAGCCAACAGACAAAAAAACCTTTTTTAGCTTCTCCTTCAGTGAGTGACAAACAGTCCACAAAGAGAAGTGGGTGGATATCAGACTCTGTGTGTTCCATTAATGGATAGAAAAGGGAAGCCAATAGCTGCATTCTCAGCGACGTTTCATGTCTTAATGTGGAATTTTGTGCCCTCCTCCTTTTTATTTCCCCCCTTGGAGAGTTCCTAGGATGATTAATAAAATCATTAAATCTTTCAGGTTATGAACCCCTTTCAGAATGAAGGGGACACTTAGATCTCTATCAAGGAAAAAAGTTCCTAAGTTCATTGTGTTAAAAAAAAAAAAAATCCCATTTAGTTGGAAAGGAAACAGGGGATAGGGTGGATTTCAATTTGGAATTTCCTGGACATAGCAATTATAAAGTGATTCACAACTTGGGAACATCTGTCCAGATTTTGTCTTTTTGCTACTAAAGAAAGAAAATCAATGCATACTGATTACAGAGTTTGATAACTAATCATTTTCTAAATAGGCTGACTTAACTGTGTGTTATTTTGTGTGTGTGTGTGTGTGTGTGTGTGTGTATAACTCAGTCATGCAGTTTTTCCTGGGGGAGGGAGTCACATTTTGCATAAATATCCTCTGCACTAATGGAACCAAAACACACCTTCTGACCAGGCCTGATGTGTTTCTTCCCTGAAGCACTGAAATCATCTTGTAACACTTTCGAATCATCACAAATCACTCTCAGTACAAAGGAGCAGTATTTTTGAGGCAATGTCCATTGCTTCCGTAGCCTGTGCATCGGGCATTAGCACATCATATCGTTTACTTTTCCTTACTGAACATTCCTCCCATTCTAAGGATAGGGTTCTCACACATTCAGGAAAGATGTCAGGAAGGCTCATTTCTCATCTGTAATGGCAAATCTTCCCAAAGGATATCTGTTTTTCTGTTCTGCCTTTCTGTCTAGATATATACTAGAATTAAAGCAAATCTTCCCAAAGGATATCTGTTTCTCTGTCCTGCCTTTCTGTCTAGATATATACTAGAATTAAAGCTGTAAAATCCTCATCTGCTATTGGTAAAACCTCTGGTGGAAGGCCCAGATTTTCGGTCATGTCTCTGTCCACCGCAACTTTGAGAGGTCCAATCAATTTATACCCCAGTGGAGGGTGTCAGTGGTCTGAGGGTCAAAACTGTCTTACAGAGCATTTGCCTTTTCTGGCTGAACTCTGGACAGTAACAAATGATTAAGTCATACTCTTGGCTAGAGTATTTGAATGCAGAGTTCCAAGAATAGCAAGGAGAGATAAGAAAGCCTTCCTCAGCAATCAATGCAAAGAAATAGAGGAAAACAATAGGATAGGAAAGACTAGAGATCTCTTCAAGAAAATTAGAGATACCAAGGGAATATTTCAAGCAAAGATGGGCTCAATAAAGGACAGAAACAGTATGGGCCTAACAGAAGCAGTAGATGTTAAGAAGAGGTGACAAGAATACACAGAAGAACTGAACAAAAAAGATCTTCATGACCCAGAAAATCACGATGGTGTGATCACTCACCTAGAGCCAGACATCCTGGAATGTGAAGTCAAGTGGGCCTTAGAAAGCATCACTGTGAACAAAGCTACTGGAGGTGTTGGAATCCCAGTTGAGCTATTTCAAATCCTAAAAGATGATGCTGTGAAAGTGTTGCACTCAATATGTCAGCAAATTTGAAAAACTCAGCAGTGGCCACAGGACTGGAAAAGGTCAGTTTTCATTCCAATCCCAAAGAAAGGCAATGCCAAAGAATACTCAAACTACCACACATATGCACTCATCTCACACGCTAGTATAGTAATGTTCAAAATTCTCCAAGCCAGGCTTCAGCAATACATGAACCGTGAACTTCCAGATGTTCAAGCTGGTTTTGGAAAAGGCAGAGGAACCAGAGATCAAATTGCCAACATTCACTGGATCATCAAAAAAGCAAGACAGTTCCAGAAAAACATCTATTTCTGCTTTATTGACTATGCCAAAGCCTTTGACTGTGTGGATGACAATAAACTGTGGAAAATTCTTCAAGAGATGGGAATACCAGACCATCTGACCTGCCTTTTGAGAAACCTATATGCAGGGGAAGCAACAGTTAGAATTGGACATGGAAAAACAGACTGGTTCCAAATAGGAAACGGAGTACGTCAAGGCTGTATACTGTCATTCTGCTTATTTAACTTGTATGCAGAGTACATCATGAGAAATGCTGGGCTGGAGGAAGCACAAGCTGGAATCAAGATTGCCAGGAGAAATATCAATAACCTCAGATATGCAGATGACACCACCCTTATGGCAGAAAGTGAAGAACTAAAGAACCTTTTGATGAAAGTGAAAGAGGAGTGTGAATAAGTTGGCTTAAAGCTCAACATTCAGAAAACTAAGATCATGGCATCTGGTCCCATCACTTCATGGGAAATAGATGGGGAAACAGTGGAAACAGTGTCAGGCTTTATTTTTCTGGGCTCTAAAATTACTACAGTTGGTGACTGCAGCCATGAAATTAAAAGATGCTTACTCCTTGGAAGGAAGGTTATGACCAACCTAGACAACATATTAAAAAGCAGAGACATTACTTTGCCAACAAAGGTCCATCTAGTCAAAGCTATGGTTTTTCCAGTGGTCATGTATAGATGTGAGAGTTGGACTGTGAAGAAAGCTGAGCACCGAAAAATTGATGCTTTTGAACTGTAGTGTTGGAGAAGACTCCTGAGAGTCCCTTGGACTGCAAGGAGATCCAACCAGTCCATCCTAAAGGAGATCAGTCCTGGGTGTTCATTGGAAGGACTGATGCTGAAGCTGAAACTCCAATACTTTGGCCACCTCATGGGAAGAGTTGACTCATTGGTAAAGACCCTGATGCTGGGAGGGATTGGGGGCAGGAGGAGAAGGGGACGACAGAGGATGAGATGGCTGGATGGCATCACCGACTTGATTGGCATGAGTTTGAGTAAACTCTGGGAGCTGGTGATGAACAGGGAGGCCTGGCATGATGCGGTTCATGGGGTCACAAAGAGTCGGACATGACTGAGCAACTGAACTGAACTGAACTGAACTGGACTTGTGGCTAGGTAATACTATAAATACTAAGTTTACAGTATTATCCCATCCAGTTTAGGACAAGTAAGGAATGTTACCAGTCTACTCTTCGAAAGACTCTCCAAATGTCTATGTTGAAGTTAACCATGTACCCCACTTCAGGTCTAAAAAGTCTAGCTTATGAATGAGAGATTGAGCTTTTAGCCACGACTAGCAAACGGCAGTGTTTTCTTTCTCCACATATTTAATTTTTAAAAATATAATACTCCTGGTAAGGCTCATGAGCCAGTAGCCATATATGATGTGTAATGCTTATTGAAATTAGTGGAATTCAAATGGCGATGTCTTGGTAAAGAGAGTTTCTTGGGTGTGACACCAGCATCACGGTACTGTGAGACATTCTGTCTCTCCCCTTCATATAAGGAGTAAAATATCCATAACTCAACGAAAGTTCCTCATACCAGGACATCGGTGAGTTCCGTACATCTGTATATCAAGCCGTGGGTGGACTGAACACATGGAGAGGCAGAACCCGGGGAAATGTAGAAGTGGGGCCCGAAACCTTGGATTCCCTGCCACATCAGGTCAACGTGCAGTCCAAGAAAACCCAGGGGCAACAGGGAAGCCGTGCAGGCGACGGCAGCTTCCTGCTTGCAGCAGCGCGCGACCACAGGGGCGGCGGCAGCAGCAGCAGTGGGACTTGGGACCCGCAGCCCTGCATCTGCAGTGGCGCCTGCAGAGGTGGCATCTGTGAGCACAACGGCCCGTGACCGCAGTTCCCTGCACACCTCTCTCCCTCCCCGACTCCGGGTTCCCTCCACCCAGGCAATCCTGACCGCAGTGGGGGTGCCTGCCATCCTGGGGTCCCCGGCAGCAACGCCAGTGCCAGCAGCGACACTGGTGCATCAAAGTGCCAGCAATCCTGGGCCAGAGGCAGTGACAATGAGGGCATCTCACAGTGTCGCCTCTGACAGAAGTGTTGGAGGGTGGAAAGTTCTGGTTCTCAAAGAGCAGGCAGAGGAAGCACAGGTAAGAGAATCAACAATTTGTGCTATAGTGCCATCTGCTGAAAGAGAAAAGAAAGGCCGCTAATTACCCATCGTTGGATTGTTACAAATAGAAACAAGTAAAAACAAACAAACAAACAAAAACAAACCTTTACTTAGAGAGGAAATGTTTTCACTACTTGAAATGGACCATCAGCAGAACAGCAGCTCATCAAACACCATGAAGAACCACGGTAACACTGTGCCATAAAAAAGAAAATGACAATTCTTCAGAAGCCAAACTTAAAAGCATGGAACACTGCAATCTAACTGAGAAAATTCAACATAGTTGTGAAGCTCAACAAGTTACAAGAAAATTCAGAAAGGCAATTCAATCAGCTCATGAATAAAATTAATGAACAGAAGGAATGCTTTGCCAAAGACTGAAACTCTGATAAAAACCTGAGCAGATATTATGAAATGAAAGAACTAAAAATATGAGATAAAGAAAGCATTAGAAAACATAGAAAATTGAGCAGACCATAGGGAAAAAGAACTATCAAGCTGAAAAGTAAAATCCTAGAAATAATTCAGGTAGAAGAGGAGATATAACTGAGATCTAAAGATAAACGAAATTCTACAGGTACTACCTGACGTCATTGGGAAAGGTAACCTAAGGATAACAGTTATCCCAAGAGAAGAGAGGAAGGATGGGACAGGAAGTTTATTAAAGAAATAACAGTTCAGATCTTCCCAGATCTGAAGAAGAAACTGGATATACAAGCTCATGATGCTAAGAACAACTATTTAGTCAATGCGAAAAGACCTTCTTAAGACACATTATTTGAAAACTATCAGATGTCAATGAAAAAAAATGTAAGGCAACCAGGGGAAAAAGAGACAGTAACCCACAAAGGAACTCCTATTAATCTATCAACAACTTTCTTAGCAGAAACTCTACAGGCCAGGAGAGAGTGGAATGACATGGAGAAAATTAAAAAGGTAAAAGCTATCAGCCAAGAATACTCTACCCAGCATTTATTTTTCAGATATTATGGAGAAATGCTTTTCCAGATATATGAAGGCTGATGGAGTTCATCATCACTAGACCTACCTTACAAAAAATGTGGAAAGGAACTCTTCCACCAGAAACAAAAGGGTAAAAGAACGGAAAATTTGAGTAGATGATAAAAAGACAATTAAAAAAGAAAACAACAACACCAAAAAAACCCACAACTCTGTATCAGAATGGGCTTCCCCCGGTGGCTGAGCAATAAAGGTGCCAGTGCAGGAATGTGGGTGTGAAAGGAAATGACAAGCCACTCTACTATTCTTGCCTGGGAAATCCCATGGGCAGAGGAACTGGGAGGGGGCTACAGTCCACGGGGTTGCAAAGAGCAGGATGTGACTTAGTGACCAAACAACGACAATATCAGAATGGTTGTTAAACATTTAATTATAGCATTAAGGTTAAGGAGGAAAAAAGCAATGAAATTAACTACCAGTTCAGTGCAATCATTCAGTTGTGTCTGACTCTCTTCCATACCATGGACTGCAGTACGTCAGGCTTCCCTGTCCATCACCAACTCCTGGAACTTACTCAAACTCATGTCCATCAAGTCGGTGATGCCATCCAACCATCTCATCCTCTGTCATCCCCTTCTCCTCCTGCCTTCAATCATTCCCAGCATCAGGGGCTTTTCCAATGAGTCATTTCTTCTCATCAGGTGGCCAAAGTATTGGAGCTTCAGTTTCAGCATCAGTCCTTCCAATGAACATTCAGGAATGATTTCCTTTTGGATTGACTGGTTGGATCTCCTTGCAGTCCAAGGAATTCTCAATATTCTCCAACACCACAGTTCAAAAGCATCAATTCTTCAGCATTCAACTTTCTTTATAGTTCAACCCTCACATCTGTACATGGCTACTGGAAAAACCATAACTTTGACTAGATGGGCCTTTGTTGTTAAAGTAATGTCTCCGCTTTTTAATACACTGTCTAGGTTGGTCACAGCTTTTCTTCCAAGGAGCAAGTGTCTTTTAATTTCATGGCTGCAGTCACCATCTGCAATGATTTTGGAACCCCCCAAAATAAAGTAACTCTCACTGTTTACATTGTTCCCCCATCTATTTGCCATGAAATGATTGGGCCAAATGTCATAAACTTAGTTTTCTGAATGTTGACTTTTAAGCCAAACTTTTCACTCTCTTTCACTTTCATCAAGAGGCACTTTAGTTGCTCTTCACTTTCTGCCTTAAGGGTGGTGTCATCTGCATATCTGAGGTTATTGATATTTCCCCCAGCAGTCTTGATTCCAGCTTGTGCTTCATCCAGCCCAGTGTTTCTCATGATGTACTCTGCATAGAAGTTAGGTAAGCAGGGTGACAGTATACAGCCTTGACACTCCTTAGCTTTTGTTTTCCTTTAATCTCCATTGTTTCCTTTTCCTTGCTGTTTATGTCTGCCACTTTGGTCTGGCAGTTTTCTATGATATTTTGTTTCCTTTTTTCTGTTTTTATAGTTACTTCATTTGGTAACAAACTCACCACTTAGAAGGAGGTTATTTGAGACAACAAAGCATAAAAGGCAAATAGGAAAAGGATGGAAGCCATGCAGGCAACTGAAGATAAGATGCTATCACCAGAAAAGGGGCTATTTTACCCATGAGGCATTTTATGTGAATCTCATAGTAATCAAAAAACATAAATCTAGAGCGGAGACACAAAACATAAAATGGAAGCTGACAAAATATTATAGAAAACTGCCAGGCCAAAATAGAAATAAACACAGGGGAAAAGAAACAATGCAGATTAGAGGAAAATGAAAGCTAAAATGACAGTACTAAGTCTCCATTTATCAGTACTCCCCCTTAACATAAATGGGTTAAATTCACCAGTAAAAACAAGTAGAGTGGCTGTGAGAAAGGCAATGCCAAAGAATGTTCAAACTATTGCATAATTGCACTCATCTCACATGCTGGCAAAGTAATGCTCAAAATTCTCCAATGAGGCTTCAACAGTACATGAACCGTGAACTTTCAGATGTTCAAGTTGGATTTAGAAAAGGCAGAGGAACCAGAGATCAAATTGCCAACATCCGCTGGATCATAGAGAAAGCAAGAGAGTTCCAGAAAAACCTCTCCGTCTGCTTTATTGACTATGCTAAAGCAATTGACTATGTGGATCACAACAAACTGTGGAAAATTCTTAAAGAGATGGGAATACCAGACCACCTGACCTGCCTCCTGAGAAATCTGTATGCAGGTCAAGGAGCAACAGTTATAAACGGGCATGGAAAAACAGACTGGTTCCGAATCAGGAAAGGAGTATGTCAAGGCTGTATATTGTCACCCTGCTTATTTAACTTCTTTGCGGTCACCATCTGCAGTGATTTTGGAGCCCAGAAAAATAGTCTCTCACTGTTTCCATTGTTTCCCCATCTACTTGCCACGAAGTGATAGGACCGGATGCTATGGTTTTAGTTTTCTGAATGTTGAGTTTTATGCCAACATTTTCAATCTCCTCTTTCACTTTCATCAAGAGACTCTTTAGTTCTTCACTTTCTGCCATAAGGGTGGTGTCATCCGAGTATCTGAGGTTATTATCTTTCTCCTGGAAAACTTGATTCCAGCTTGTGCTTCATCCAGGCCAGCATCTCCTCATTTTAAAGATAAACTCCACTGCAATGTTGTAAAATAATTAGCCTCCAACGAATTAAAAAAAAAAAAAAAGATAAACTCTAGATTTACTCATGCTAAATTCAGTGAAAGGTGCAAAAACCAGCCCGCTTCCAGTGTGTGTAGATAAAACACTAGGTAGGTTTCTCATTGAGCCTGAATGCTCTTCCTCTGGGTCCATGAAATAACTCTGTGCTATGCTAAGTTGCTCAATCATATCTGACTCTTTGGGACCCCATGGACTATAGTCAGTCAGGCTCTTCTGTTCATGGGATTATCCAAGCAAGAATACTGGAGTGTGTTGCCATTTCCTTTTCCAGGGAATCTTCCTGACCCAGGGATCAAATCCACATCTCCTGCTTGGCAAGTGGATTTCTTTACCACTGAGCCCAACTGGGAAGCCCCTACACCCTCTTAATAATTTTCTCAATTTTGCCTGAAGTACTTTATGAGAATCTCTTGTTACTTGCATCCAAACGACCCCAGACCTGAAGTACTGCAGTCTTAAGTAGCTCATTAGATACCCACACCACTTTCCTTTTCTAGTCAATATCTAATAAAAGTAAGTAGGAACATCTAGGGTAACGGGACCAACCTCAGGAAGGTTATGGAAGGACTTAAGGTCAAAATGTGGGTGGACTTAAGGTCAAAATGTGTGCAGACATACAGTTCAGGTGATAACTCAGTCATCCCGACAGCAAATAAAAATTGTCAACCCAGCAACGCAGGAGAGCAGGCATACCCTAAAGACATGGGTAATGAGGGGTACATCTCACATTTGTCACCAGCAGACCCCACTAACAATTCCCAGGAAATAAAAATAGAATCTAGGTAATAAAGTCTAACCTTCTTTATTTTTTCCTTTGTGCTTCATCTTGTTTCATTCACTGATAGAGTGTTCTGTGCAGAGGCCTTTCTTGGTGAACTTCAGGCCAGAGTTCCTAGTGTGAAAGAGCTTTGCCAGACACTTCAGCTCATCAGGCAAGGGCAGAAGTGCTGCCCAAGACATACTCAATTTAGGATGGCGGCAGCAGGCCTGATGTGTGCAGAGACGCCGCGCTTAACACTAGGAGATCTGGAACATGAGCTTTGCAGATGCACCCGCCCCACAGAAACCTGCACCCCACCCCCCCAACTGCTGAAAGAACCCTGCTGAAGCAGCCCCACCCACAGCCTGTCTGGGGAGATCCTGGG